GTGTGTGCATGAGTGTCTTGTGTATATGTGTGCGGGATATCCAGGGAGATCCAGAGTTGCGTGTGTGCGAACAAGTTGCTGGAAGTATAGTCATCGGCCATAGCCGATCGAGACAAGTTTGAATCCGAACTGTGTTCTTGGCTTCGTTATCTCTGAGCTTTGTGTGGGCGCAAGTCACCAGCTTGTTCGTCATCTGTTTCCAACTTTCCATGCATGCTGGACGTCGAAGAAGACAAGTCTGATTGCATTTTGTTCAACTGTCAGCACAGCAGAGCCTATCTTGTCAAACCAAAACGAAGTATGCACCGAATTTGCAATTGTCATATACTCTCCACCGCCTTCCCAGTCAATCCCCTGGTGACACGGGCAATCAATCCTGGCAGGTCGACACGGTCAAGCTCAGTTCTTGTGATGTATAATGGGACGCTGGACCCGTTTTCCAGCAGGTGCTGCTCCCCACGCCAATAGATTGGAGCTTTCCCAAAAAAAAAAGGAAAGAAAAAAAAAAAAAGCACCTGGACCCGTGGCGGTTCAATGACAGTCTTCCCCGAATAGAATGTATGGTCATTGTAGCTGTATTTGGGTCAACTTTCAGTCTCGATACAGCAATAATGACCATGTGTTCTATTCAGGGGATATACAGCAATAATGACCATGTGTTCTATTCAGGGGATGGTGGTAGCCAGGGGAGGGAGAATTAAGAGACATGTGTGACAGGTGTGGGATGAATTTTTGTACATGGAAAATTAAGTAAGAATGCATACAGGCTATCCCTGCATTGGGTTGTGGGGCCTTGCTCCACTGCACAACATTCCAAATGCATCTCGAGCTGGTAATGGCCCCAATGCAGTCAAATTTCAAAATCTTCGATGGTCCGAATATATCTTTGTCCATATACCAGGAAAGATACTGTCGAATGTTGAGTAGCGGGGCATACTCTGGCTCATGATACGAGTTGTGAGGGTGGGGTAGAGGGTTTGATTATTGTAGAGCCTATGTATATGGGAACCAAAATGAACAACAATTGTACAATAAAAACAACAAGTGAATAACAGTGACTGTATAAAAAAAGTGGACGACAAGGACGACCAAAGAATGACCACTGAAGAACAACGACCTAACAACGACAACGTTAAAAAAAAAAAAAAAAAAAAAAAAAAAAAAAAAAAAAAAAAAAACAGACAATTCCTGATAAACCTGTGCCACGGGGATGCTTTGGACGCATTTTGGGCTGTTGTGTGGTTAGACCTTGGCTTCGCCGCTAGGCACTCCCTTGTGTGGTCAGACCTTGCGTTGCCATTTCAATGGAGTAGAACTCTGAAATTATCGGGCTGCGATGCTCGCTTCCTCTGTTAATTCTGTGAGGGGCTAATCTGTACTGACCATTTGCCCTTGTGATCCACTGTCACAATCAGCTGTTGGGTCGACTTTCTACCTCTCCTCCTCTTCCCCATTTTCACCCTTGTTGCTCCACTTTCTGCTGCTTCATTTGCCTTCCTCTCTGCTCCTAATCCTCCACACACCCTTGCGACCCTCGTACCCCCTTGCCGTGCACCCAATGTCCCATTTTCTCTCTGTTGAATCATTTATGGTTGTTGTACCAAAAGATAAAAAAGACCTATGACTCACAGCTCTTGTCCTGCATCCCCGCTCACCTCCTTTTGTCTTCCTCTGTCTTTGTTCTTGTTCACCTACTTTCCTTACCGATTCCTTGCCCCCCTCCTGCCCTTCCCCATCCTGCTGTACACCCCCTTCCCCCTCTCGGTGTTCCCTTTCCTCTCTCGTCCACCATGCCCCACCCTCCCTGTCCTGCCTCACAGTCTCTGCTTCCCTCTTACCTTCCGCCATTGCACCCTTCCCCCCTCTCTTTCCTCCCCTCCATATCTCACTACCTTCTTTCTCCTCCTCTTCCTCACTCCCTCCCACCCTCACTCCCTTCTTTCTCCTCCCTCACTCTCACCCTCTCTCCCTCTCTCCTTCTCTCCCTCCCTCTCTCCCTCTCTCCCTCTCTCCCTCTCTCTCTTCCTCCCTCACTTCTTCGTCCCCCCCCCTCCCTCCCTCCCTTCTTTCTTCCTCCCTGCCTGCATTGGACTCACTGAGCAGGTACTTACTGGCACAGAGGAGCAAGGACTGCTGGAGTATCGGGCAAGGCTGGAGGAGTGGGGCTGGCGGTACCGCGTTTCAGCCCAAGTCTCCAACTTAGTGCAACGGTAAGCAAGAAAATGGGCTTTCCTGTTCTTTTTTTTTATGTTTCCAAAGGGGCGCAGTTATCAAACAGATTGGGAGGTGTAACACTCAGCAAAGTATGGAAACTGTTTGTGGCATTGCGCGTTTTATCTTTTTCAGATTGGGTTATGCAGCCTCTGGTGGAAGAAATGTGCACTCTAAAGTGGACCTGTATGTGCAGACGCCCAGATGCATGATCGTGTATTGGGGCATGCAGTTGTTCCGGTGTATTCTGACAGGGGCAAGGTAGTCATTCATTATCTCGTCAAAGGCCAGGGGTGCAATCAGACTCGTCTTCTTCTTACTCAGCATGCTTGAAAACAGATGGTAATCACAATGGCGAAGCTCAGAGATATCGTGGCCAAGAACACAGTTCAGATTCAACTTGCTTCAAATGGCTATAGCGCCTGTGCGCCCTCACAACACCCTTCCACGCTGTATCCTCACAACTGTTCACATGCGTGCTACTCTGGATCTCCCTGGATGTCCCACACACGCACACAACTCACTGCACACTCACTCACATACACGCTGTAGACTACCGCTAACTATAGCTGTTATGGCTGCGTTCTACCTCTACCACTAACTAGCGGCTATGGCCGCTTCGTCTCCCTCTCAGCCCACTTCTTCCTTGGGCACATGCAGACCTCCTTGCACAAGTCGCTCAGGCAGCGCTTCCGCACGGCTCACAGTCTGAATGAATGAATAACTGGACGCTGCCTCTTGATTTATACTTCAGTTGGTCGCTGGTCTGCTCCTTTCCTTCGGGCCTAGGATGCACACAGTCCCACATGGTACTTGCTGACTGGACAAGTTGCGACTGGGACTGGTACCTGACTAGACCTGCTAAGTCTGCCCACTTGCCTACGGACTGCTTCTGAGACTCTCGAAGGGGCAGTCCTAGAAGACTCTAGACCTTCCTACTTGCCCTTTCGGTACCGTAGCAGCTACGACTAGGTTGACCCTTTAGACCTACAGCAGCTACGACCAGGCATAAGCTACGACTCCTACCCTACAGGTAAGCAGCTCGAACCTACTCAGCCCTTGTATCTACAACGGCCTTAAACAAACAACTTTAAGGGCAGGTCACGGGTTCAAACATTGATGGGGCGGACTGTACCGTACACGGGTTTGGAGCAGGTCTAGGGATCGAGCCCTGGGATCTGCATCTGCTACCGCAAAAGGTGAAAACCATTTCACTCCCGCTGGCCTAAATTCGAGGTCCTCTGAGAATACTTCAGTCCAAGGCAGGACCTTTACCTTTGTTATCTCTCTTGTAGGTTCGAACTATATCGGGAGCAGTCTGTAGAAGCTCTGTTCGAGTAAACCAGCGGTTGTCTTCCGGTTCTTGATAGGTAAATCTAACTTTGTACTGTTTCTGTGGGCAACCTCTACCTCCTGTTCTGAACACATCTTCACCTACAAGCGATCAATGTCGTATCTGCTGTCCATATCCAGAGGGATCATGGATCTCCACGATGGGAACTGTTGACTTGTAGTACAAGGCAACAACTTCGACGCATGAAAAACTGGGTAGGTGTGGAGGTGTGTTGGGATGTCTATTGTGTAGGACTGTCCATCCTCTCCGCCCTTGACTTCTAGGACTGGCCACGGCCCTCTATAAGAAGGTAACAGTATATGTGAGATGTTCTCCTTAGGAGCAAACTCTTTGGGCTTGACCCATACTAGGTCGCCTAATTCAAACTGTGATGGACGACGGTGTTTGTTGGCTTGTTCTATCATCCTGTGCTGGGCCTTCTTGAGGTTCTCTACCACGGTAGCAATCTCTTTCTCGTGCTGTAGCGCGAATTCCCTAGTACCGGGCGGTAGCCTCTGGATCTGATCCCGGTTCAGTCCCTCAAACGGTCTACGCGGTCTAAAGGACTTATGCAGTTCATTGGGAGTGCAACAGGTTGGTAAGTGCACGTTGTTGTTATATGCACTGGCTACCTTTGGGAGCATCTCATCCAGTTGACTCGATCGGGTCTAATGTACATGCTGAGAACTTGTTGCAGGATCCTGTTCATCTGTTTGGTCTGACCATTAGTCTTTGGATGGTGGCCAGACGACATCAACAACCTAGAGCCGTAGACTCTCATCAGTTCCTGCCAGATCTGACTAGTGAACCTGGTGTCTCTATCACTAACTATGGACAGCGGTAGACCATGCTCACTGACCCAATGATCAAAGGACTTCTCTACTACTAAATATGTACGTGTCTCTAAAGGCAAAGGGACAAAAATTGCATACTTTCTAAATCTATCAACGATAACCATGACTCAGCTCTTGCCATGCCTACTCCGGACCCCGAATGAACACTGACTCTCCGGGCCTTGAAGGAATAGGCAAGGGTCTGAAAAGACATAGAGGGGCTCGCGTAGTGGTCTTATTCGTTTAGCACACTTTACAACTGCGTACATACTCTATGCAGTCAGCCTTCATGCTAGGCCATGTATACGAGCGAACGAGGTTGGCTAATGTCTTTTGCCAACCAAAGAGTCCCTCTATGTCGTGGCATTCCCCTAAGATCAGACTTCGGATCTCCTCACTGTTGGGAACGCACAATCGGTCGGCTACGTTAGCCTTCTCAAATAACAACCCATTTGTCATGCGGTAATCTGGTTCAGACTCTGGGGACTCCTTAACTCTCTTGAGGAGGTCGCTATAGATAGGGTCTTGTGCATACGCTCTTTGACTTTCTGTTGCAGGTCTCTTCCTATATCTAGATAGTGTACTATCGTTCCAAAGTAATCAGCTCTCCTACTTCGAGCGTCCGCAACTACATTGTACTTTCCTTTGACTGGCTTGATCTCAAAGTCAAACTAATCTATTTCTGCGGCCCACCTAGTAAGCTTAGGTGTCATTTTGGCCTGCGTTTTCAGCCACCGCAATGTCTCGTGGTCTGAGTAGACTTTGAAGTGCCTCCCAAGCAAGTAGTGCTTCCAATGGTCTAAGGCTTGCCTGAGAGCGTAGAGTTCCCTCTCATAGGTCGATGTCGCTACCTTCTCTGAAGGCATCCTAGCAGACATGAACTCTACGGGTCTATACCCATTGCCATCATCTTGTTGTAGAACAACACCAATACCATACTAACTGGCATCAGTGGTGACAACAAAAGGCAAAGACGGATCGGCTACCTTGAGGACTGGGTACTCTATCAAGGCCTGCTTCAACTTCTTTAGGGTCGATGTACAATCTTGGTCCCACTTCCAGATCGCTTCTTTCTTTAGCAATCTGCGAAGGGGAGTAGCGATGGCAGAGAAGTTCCTTACAAACTTCCTGTAATAGTTCACCAATCCTAGGAACAACCGCAACTTCGTTAACGTGTGGGAAATTGACCAATCTCTAATCGCTGCTATCTTACTGTCCTCAGGCTTTATGCCATCTCCATCTAACACGTGGCCCAAGTACAAKACCTGCGTCTTGGCCCACTCGCACTTCTTCGAGTTCATCTTGAAGTTAGCTTCTCTCAGCTTCTCCAAGACCTGCCTCAGATGAGCCTCGTGCTCCCGGAGGGTCTTGCTAAACACTAGGATATCATCTAGATACACAATGACAAATCTATGTAACCACAACCTAAACAAATCATTCATGCAACACTGAAATGTGGCCGGTGCGTTGGTTAGTCCAAAGGGCATCACTAAAAACTCATAGTGCCCGTATCTAGTCTTGAACGCCGTCTTGTAGTGATCATCAAGATGAACCTTTATCTGATGATAGTCTGATTTCAAGTCTATTTTGGAGAAGTACTTGCAGCCCTGCACCCGATCCAACAGATCATCTATCCGAGGCAGTGGTTCTGCATTCTTCTGTGACGGCGTTAAGACCCCTATAGTCGATGCACATTTGTAACTCTCCCTCTTTCTTGGGGACGAACAGGACAGACGCTCCAAACGGAGACGAACTGGGCTTAATCCAATCCTTTTCGAGGAGCTCGTCTAATTGCTTACGTAACTCCTCTAACTCCCTTGGTGACATTCTGTATACTGCTCCCTTAGGAGTTCTACTGCTAGGCTCTATCTCAATACGATGCTGGATTGACCGCGACACTATTCCTGTAGGCGGCTCAGATAAATCTACATGCTCTTCCAACAGCTTGGCAATGCGAGGGTCGATTGGTTCCTCCTACTTAGGCTCATTAATTGGCCTAACATAGGCTACGAAAACCTGCTCTTCTAGTTGCTCCTTCTTCACTAACCTTGCGAATGCAGGAGCGCTGAGGCAGCAATGTGCTAAGGGGTTATCTATCCCTAGCACATGAAACAGGCGAGCAATCTTAACTTCACCTGATGGGCTAGGGAGCCTACACTCGTGCCCTCTCAATGGAGTGTGGCCCCTGCTACCTCTCCCTAGTCCATTCCTAGGACCATATCAAATGGGAGATTGTCCTCTATGAGGAGAGTCAGACAATGGAGAACTCTCTCTACCTTCCCATCTTTCTCTAGGCGGAAGTATGCCTGGACTCCCTCGACATAATCCTCGATTCACATGGTGCAATTATCTGCGAGGATATTGACTATAGGTTCTTCTAGCTTTTGTATCTTTAAGTTTAGCTTCAGCTTCTGCAGCGCTTTGCGGCTAATATAGCTGCGGGTGGCCCCACAGTCTATAAGGGCCCCTACCCTGCCTCTAGAAATCTCTGCATCTACTAACACTAGCTGTCCCTTCCATCCTTCCTCATCTTGACCCAGGCTGGCATCCTCTCCTTTAGCTCTTCTGCTAGACCTGTGAGGGAAGTGCCGAGAGAGACTCTAACGCAAGCGGTCTTGGACAGCTATCTAGGCACTGGCCAACAACCTCTGCCATAGACACATCTGGTTTGGGAGTTTCTCTGTGGTGCGTGCACTCTTCTCCACATGGTCTAGGAGGGGTAAGGGCAATTGCGACCCCTACCGGCGTTTGCTTTTTGCTGCCTGTGCAGCAGCTCGTCGGGCATCTTTGTATTTGGGGCAGTATTTGATGATGTGCCCTGGATCACCGCAAT